CTAATATAATATAATTGTATATAATATGTTGCCCATAATTAGATTATACATAAGAAATAAAATATTTCCTAACATTTTTTTTCTCAAAAAGTTTGTATACCTGACAAATGATGAGATAAAAAAATAGGAAAATAAAATATATTTAGAAAATTAATAAGAATTTGAAACTGTAAATAAATACACAATAAAAGTGTAATGATTAAAACTCCTTTGATATACTTACAAATAATAGAATAATGATTAAATGTGATTATAATTCTAAATATATTGGTGAGTAAATAAATAATGTATTCATTGAAAAATATGTAATAACAGATCAATCTATATTTACTGAAAAAGATTGATGTTTAATTCAAAGTGAAAACCTTGGCTTTACTGAAAAAAATACCTCTTAATAACACGTGCAATTCGAACTAGTTATGGATCACTCCTAGTTATGAAATCACTTAATTCCTAAGAACTTAAAGTGTTTTTTAATAAAGAACAAAATCAGTTGTTCAGTGATGTAACGCACACTGAATCACTGTAAACAAATGCAAAAGTGAAAAGCTCACAATCACTAAAAGAAAGTCTGGATAAAATCGATAACTGCAGTAGTGTTTAGTTGAATCTTCGATCAAGCATATACACAAACTCCTCAAAGGTAAGGAGCATTCACATTTTCGTACATTGACTTCCTTCCATGTAGAGCTGCTTTATTTCCAAATGACTTCTTCATAATTTGGACGCGATCTCCCTTCATGTTGAAATTGAGATCTCATCACAATCGGTTCATATTTTCCTTCATGTTGAAATTGAGATCTCATCACAATCGATTCATATTTTCCTTGTCTCGTGATCCTTCCTATAAAAGTAAAATATATATTATAGAAACGGATTTATCAAATATAAACACTATCTATTAAATACTAATATATATCACTTACCATATTAAATAAATATGTGATCTAAATAACTAAATTAAATACAAGTGAGAAAGTGAGGGGATGCTTGGATATAAGATATTTTTATTTTGTTTTGATTTTTTGGTTTTGTATGGTTAGTTGTTAATGAAATTTTGAGATAATATTCAAAACAAAATAATTAAAGTTGATTTGATGTAAAAACATGAGAGATGGTGTTGAAGTGACGATTACTTAAAATAATGTGCGTGAATGAATAATAAATTAAAATTATTGTAATGTGTAAGAATGCTCAAGTGATATTATTTAATTATATTAATAGTACTGAAGATAATGAGGTTGAGTCACAGTTGAATTAAATTTTATTTAAAAAAAAGATTGGCTAAAAATAATATTTTTTTTTTTAATTGTATCCAAGCATCCTGAATCTTCTCTTTTAATAATTTGTTTTTATATGCCTTACAAATTAAATTATCAAAATATTAAGTTGTCTATTTTTTGTAAAATTAAATCTTACAGTACTTGTTTTATTTCTCTTTTAATAATTTGTTTTTATGTGCCTTACAAATTAAATTATAGATATGGCCAGAACCCGTGATCCGACTCGGGCCGTCGGGTCGCCGGACTAGAAAATAATGAATCGGACCCGACACAGACTTATACTCGTGTCGGCTCAATGGCCGGGTTGACCGGGTCGGGTCATTTAAAAAAAAAAACAATAGAAAAATATAAAATAAAATAAAAAAGCGGGTCATCGACTCGGCCCAGACTGGACCCGCCAGGCCGAGTCATAAAATGGATGACCCTGACACGACCCTTTGGAAATCCGGTTTGAGTCTGGACTCGTGGTCAACGGGTTTGATCGGGCTGGGTCAGTGCCAGGCGGCGGGCTGGGCGCCCTTGGCCATGTCTATTAAATTATCGAAATATTAATTTGTCTATTAAATTATCAAAATATTAATTAAGTCAATATATTCACATTAAGGATAAAATAGTAAATTTAATGTTACATTAAGGGTATAAAGGTAAATTTTATGAAAAAGTAACGCCGTCAGCATTAATATAACGGCGTTAACTGGAAATGGCGAGTATGCATGCAAACATAAAATACAAGAGTTTGACGCATTTTTAAAATAGGGGGAGAAAATACGCAGATTTCATATAATACAAAGGGATTTCGTTCAATAAACCCCAATATTTATTTTAGGGTAAATTGCACCAAACCCCCCGTGTTCAACGAAATGTGCGCGTTTCCCCACTGTGTTTTAAAAACTGCACCAGTCCCCCTTATGTTTAAGTAATTGCTGCACGGATCCCCCATTCCGTCCAAGTTAACCGCGCGTGTGTGACACCTTCTCTGGCTGCGAGATTTATTCAATTTCTTTATTTTTAGAATTACTTATTTACCATTATGCCCTCCTGAATTGTATTGCAAAAGCTAAAAATTTATAGTGTAAGAAGTGGGACTTGAACCCGGATTGCAGAGGGAGGGTGCGCACCAACAAAGCCACTAGACTACATGAATATAGTGTAAACTATTGAACAAACATATATTTATAATATAAAACGAAAATAAATTAAATAAAATAAAAATAAAGTAAATAAAATTAATAAAAGTCTAATAGGTAAATTAATGTAAATTAAATAACTAATAATAATAATAACTTGAAATAAATTAAATTAACATAAAAATAATGAAATAGTTAAATTAAAATAAAGTAAGATAAAATTTAATATAGTAGCATGAATTAAAATTAAATCATTATTAATTTTTAATTACTAAAATAATTTAATTAAATAAATTTTGAAATGAAAAAGGAATGATAATAAAATTAAAAAAAATAAAACAAATAAAAATATTACAGATAATAATGTATAAAAATTGTAAAGTGAAATAATATAATAAATCAAATAAGGTATTATAATATAATAAATTAAAGTAAATAAAAATCTTAAATTAATATAATAAAATAAAAAAAAACATAATTTATCAAATACGTGTAATATGATTTACTCTTACATACAATATCAATGAGAACAATTGAAATAAATTATAATTTTTTAGTAAAAGATTTTAGTTTCTAATTAATAATTTAATTTCTAATTTTATTAGTATAATTTATCTTAATTTTATTACATTATCTTAAAAAAAAAAATAAATAAAATTTGTTAACTAAGAAAATATAATGAATAATGCAATAAAATAATATGGAATAATATAAATTAAATAAATAATAAAATATAAAAATAATCTAAATATAAATACAATAAATATTTTTATTTTAACTTTAATTTTTTAAATTTATTTATAATTTATTTTAGTTATTGTTGTTTTTGTTTAATATAATAAGTTATTTTTTATTTTTGTTTCACTTAATTTTATATAATTTGGTTCAGTATATTTTAATTTATCATATGTTTATATTTTAATAATTTAATTTATTAATTACATTATCTTCTAAATTAAATTTCATTTATTCATGTGTAATGCCAATATATATTAAACTTTACTACATCTAACACTCAAGCTTGAGTGGTGCAATGGTTGCTTGCTTGCCTTGCTTGAACATGGTCTGAGGTTTGAATCCTCGAGAGAGCATTTTTTTTAATTCAATTTTTCGCGATATATTCAATATATTGTGAGAAATTCAATTTATCGTAAATATATATATAATATTCGAAGGGTATAATGGAGTTTTTGTAAAAAAATTAACGCCGTTAACAAGAAGTTAAAAAAGGGAGCGTTTGCATTGGTTGTTTAAACATAAGAGGCTTTGGTGCAGTTTTTTAAAACACAGTGGAAAAACGTGCACATTTCGTTAAACAAGGGTTTGATGCAATTTACCCATTTATTTTATTTAGTGCAATTTACCCATTTATTTTAGGCTTAATTGCCGCCAGCATCACGACCTTTTACATTTTGGAAATTTTAACCAAACCTTTAGAAATAGGCAAACATATCACCACCTTGTATAAAAATTGCAACCCGAACCCAATGTCTGTCGGCGGTGAATTTTTTGACAGCGTGTCCGGCGTCCGTTCCTACGTGGCCTCGACTGCTCGCTGACCTGGCACAACTAAATCGACGTGTTAAAAACCCAAAATACACGTGTGATACACACAAAATAAAAACAGAATCGGGGGGGATAATTGTCCTCATTTCTTCCCCAATTTTTTTCTCCAAACCCTAATTATTTCTTCCCCAAATTTCGCAGCTAATTCCCTAACTCTAGCCCCAAAATTCGCAGCCAATTATCCTAAAAAATCTCACCATATCTGGTCTGAAAATGTCTTGCTCATCTCGTAGAAGCCAAAATTCTGAAAATAGTGGTGCCTCCAATGTGTCGACACGGAAGCTGTGCGACCACGGTGAAGATGCGATCGTTCTCACCTCCATGATTAATGATAATCCATGTAGGAGGTTCTACAGATGTCGAAATAGAGAGGTAATGTAATTGCTGTCGAATTTTTTTTTTTTTTTTGGTGAATT